GGTCATTCGTCTTGTCCGGCTGGAGGGAACGAGCTGTCCCCAGGTCCCATGGGCTCACATGGCCCTTTCGGACGTCACCCCGGAGAAGCTCGTGTTTACCGAGGCTGGAGTGCTTCTTGTGGAGGATTACAAATAAATCCCGTGCCGCAAAGGGAAATGAACACGCATTCCTCCCAGGAACATGCTGTCATGTAAACAGTGTCCGGCACAAACACACTCAGGAGAACTGGCCAGCAACGATAGCACGATGATTGCCAAGGAGGATAGTCCTGCAGTCTGTGGGAAAGCGGCGATTTGTAGTTGTTTCTTGAAAGTTCTTAAAGTTTTTTGGTTTGGGTTTGTTCGCAGGCTCAACTAACGGGTGCGAGAGAACTTCTTTCGCGTTCCTGCGACAAGAACTCCCCGTGAGGTTTGCAAATATACTGAGAGAGATTGATCTTCTCCCTGATAAATTACTGGGCACTCCGTCGGTGCAATTAGTAAAAAGCTGGTAAGTAAAGAGTACTTGAATTCAAGCCTAAATAACATAGCTGTAACAACTTGTCATACCTTTTTGAATAGTAGAACACTGACAAGTACACTAGAAGTGAGTTGCTTCAACAAAGCTGAATTGCGAGCTGTTACACGCTGTCCTCCTGTAGCACGCAAAAATTAAATTGAAAAAATACATAGTTTGTTGTTACTTTCGAGTAGTTGGTTGGGGTTTTTTTAAAGTACCAGTTTGAAATAGCTGCTAGAGCAAGTCTCACTTACTACCCTTAAAGAAGAGAGAGAAGAAAACATGGTCTGTTTTCACCTAGCACTGCAGAGCCCCAAAGCTGCACAAAATTGGGGAAGCAGGCTATATGCTTGTTTGGGTCTCACACTGACGGAACTACTAACAGAGCTTCCATTCCGTGGCACAATGCCTTGGCCTGTGCAGCGAGTGTTTTGAATTTAGCTGACATGATCTCTGTGGTTGACACAGTGGTTGAGAATGATTTAACCTCGTTTTACTGGCATTTGCAAGAATGGCTGACATAAAGGGCAAAAGTATTAGAGTGAGATCCAGAAACTGTTCTTAATCTGGTAAACAGCTGTGCCTTTGCAATATGCGTCAGGGCTGTCAGATGTTAGCATAAGAGGCTCAGGTACTTAACATGTGCCAAAGCTGATCAGACTTGGAAAAATTTTACTCAGGTGGTTTCCTGAGCAGTACTGTTGTTTGGATCTTCTTCTGAAACGCCTCTCAGGTTGTAAGGGGATGCTGCGTACCTAAAGTGAGGGTTTAGATACCTTTCTGGGTGGCAAGCACAAAAATAGACTTAGAGGGTTCAGGCAATCAAGAAGTGTTTGCTTGTGATTCCGTACTTGGATGGAACTTTGATACTTCAAAGATACTTCAGGCTTCTAGCTGACTCATTAAGAGTAAGCATTTGAACAAGACAAAAGTATTTTTCCTCTTCCTAGACTAATACAAATCAAATGGGTATCATATATTTCTTGTATTCTTTTTCAATAGGTACATCCAAAGCCTAATGGAGCTGGTTGAGTTCCATCAGAAAAGCCCAAATGACCACAAAGTCTTATCTGAGTAAGCTTTTAATTTGTTTCTTTGACCTTTTGATCTTGCGTTCCACTTTTCACGATGCAGTCGGCTCACAAGGACAGCTGTCATGAGCTGAATTTGAGAATCCAGCATGAAGTGCTGTGTATAGAGCCAGCTGATTGGAATCTCTGATCATGTTTAGCAATATTGCAAATAAATATGACCTGTTACAGGTCAGCTTCAAGCGCATACTGCTACTTGACGGAGAAGTATCTACAAAAATTATCTGGTGTCATATCCTTGCTTCTTTCTAAGATGCTCAGCTAGGGGTCTTCTTCCCTTCCTCACATTCTTGTCTGCTCAAACTCTTGTGAGTGACTAAACAGGCAATGAGTTTGACATGGCTCATGTTTACACCTTTTATATTTAAAAAACTACCAAGCTGCTAGCCTAGGTCGGTGAGGAATTACATTTAAAAGAGTTACTGCTAAAATTAACTTCATTTTAGTGTTAAGGTTGTTTTGCACTTACCTGTGCTGCTGCTGGATTAGATAATGATGTTGTCTAAAGCTTGCTTTCGTATAGTCTTGGAAGGCTGTTCTAAAAAGATCTCTTCTTGACCTAGCTTTATAGATACATTAATTAGAGTCCGAAACAGACATCATGATGTGATTCCTACGATGGCACAAGGAGTCATTGAATACAAGGACACGTTTAAAGTAGATCCTGTCACCAATCAAAACATCCAGTACTTTTTGGATCGCTTTTACATGAGCCGTATTTCTACCCGGATGCTAATGAACCAACACAGTAAGTAGAAATTTTTATCCGAGAGAAAACTTCACCCTAATAAGAATTATGGTAATGTACATGTTTCTTAAAACTGTTGGAGATCTGCTTCAGATAGTTTTGTGTGACACTGAAAAATTAAACAGAATGTGTGATTTCTCTAGTGTTCTAGACTACAGCCTAATTGTAATATTTAACGTGCTTGTGTTTCGATCACACTGTATTAGTCTAAGGCTTTTTTTATAATACAGTATTTGGGATTAAATACAGTATTGTTTTCATCTCAAACAGCCCTTCTTTTTGATGATAAATCTGGCTCAGGACACCCAAGGCACATTGGAAGTATTGATCCTTGCTGTGATGTTGCTGAAGTAGTGCATGGTACGTATACTCAAATCCTTAACATTTCTCTTCATGGTCAGTATTTCTATCTGATTGCAAGCAGTTTGGGTAGCCAACATGTGTTGTATACGATGCTGACTTTTTTTTTTAATTGAATAGCTGAAATCAATCTATAAAAGTACAAGCTTTTATAGGATAGAACTTAAAATACAGAGTAGCAGTAAAAAAATGTGTTGGAATAAGGCCTAGCAAGTGACGGATGAGGTAGGAGTTAAAAGTTGTCTGTGATGTTGAGATTGGTCTTACCTACCCATGGATGAGATACATCTGTTTTATAGAATTATTAAATTTTACTGAAGATTTGCCCATGCTGCTGTAACTGCCTGTTTGGTCTCATTTTTTTAATGCACACAGTAGATGTAATGTTATCATTCCTTTGAGACAGAGGCTTAGAATCTGTAACACCTTAGCATTTAATGCAGTTAAAAATCGTGTTTTAGAATGAATTTCTGCAGTGTTTGATATTATACTTCCTGTACTTGATTTAAATATTTCAGATGCTTTCGAAAGCGCCAAGATGTTGTGTGACCAGTATTACTTAGCGTCCCCAGAACTGAAACTTACTGAAGTGAATGGTAAGATACTTGCTTTTACATCTCTCTTCCCTTCGGTAGCCAAACTGGTGCTTCTACTGGATGAAAAGGCTCCCATTTCTATAGCCATAATGGCACACACCTGTTGAGCTCTCCTGGGCTTGGTCCTCTTCATTTCTTATTGTAGCCTTCTCATTTAGTCTCCTGTCTTAGAACTCCAATGCTGTTGGATCTTAAACACTGGATTTTCTGAGTACTAACCTGTACTTTAACATGGTAAGTTCCTAGAGAGGAGCTCGATAGTTGGGGTGAGGAAGTGGGTCCACTGACTAAACAGTGAGCTGTGGTCCAAGCTGCCTGCATCCATCTAATCTTGGGTGGCCTGCTCTGAAATCTTTCACTTATAAAAGGGAATCAATACTTGATTATTTTTTTTTCAGTTTATTTGAAAAGACATTATTATTAATCAAGTAGCAATTACAACCTAAACGCTCTTGTGAGTGCATAAATGTGTTTGATCATTTGGGGGGAAAAACCCTCAAAACTGAAACTTGATTAATTTTCTTGTTTCTTTTGGCATACGACTTACTGCAAAATTTGGATACATGACAGAAAAATTACATCACCCTTTTAAATCTTGCTTATATTTTTCCCTTCCTCTAGGAAAGCTTCCAGGAGAGCCAATTAACATCGTATACGTTCCCTCTCATCTTTTTCACATGCTCTTTGAGCTCTTCAAGGTATGCCAGTGTAAACTGTTCCTTCCCTTCGTACTCTGAGCTGCAGTGTCAGTACTTCAGATCTCTAGCTGTATCTGAACCAAGCCAAGCTTTGCATGGGGCAGTGAGATTTCTAAAACTGTTGTCTGAGGAACTAGCTTTGGCAGTTTGCAGGAGGGTGTTTGGACACTTGTGTCTGGTTGAATGGGGCAGGGTAACGGGGAGAGAGTAAAAGTGGAACCTGGGCTTGTGACCACTGCTAGCCTCCTGCTTTTAGAGCTGACAGCTGCAGAGCAGTTTTGCCCTGGTGCCTTCTCTGTGGGGTAGGTGATACATCTTGCGTGGGGCTCAGCTGATGTGCTGCCAACACAGGGTGTGGCATTTGGGCAGCCTTTAGCAGCTGCTGAACTCTTCTCTTGTCCAGAAAGCTGGTGGTTTTTCGTGGAGTTGTGTTATTTAATTTCCATTGAGTTACATTGGGCAAGAGCAGCGTAGTCTCTTGGGCAGAAGAGTCTGGGCTCTGCGTTGTCACTTTTAGCTGCGAGACCTTCTCTGCTCCTGTTAAGCTAAATTGCTAAGTGTGTTCCCTGGAAACTAAACACTGGTGGGAGTAGAGGGTAACTCTGCTCAGCCTCTGTGTAACAGGGGTATGATTTTAATTGCGTAGATCCAGCTCACTCTGGTAACAAGAACCTTCTTTTCCACAGAACTCAATGAGGGCAACTGTTGAATTCCAAGAAAACAGCCCTTCCCTTTCTCCAGTTGAAGTGACGGTTGTTCTAGGACAAGAAGACTTGGCAATTAAGGTCTGTGTTTGGCCTATTGCAATAGAGATTACATTAAGCCCATGCAATTGCATGTGCTGCATCAAATTGTATTAAAAAAACTTCCAGCCTCTGACAACAGATCAAAGATACTACGCATGAGCATTCTGTTGATAGCCTCCATTTAGCACCGTTGTCTAATCGAAAAATAATGTGCTGTCAAACAAATGCTAGTATTTGAACAAACCTTTACAATAGTACTAATACTAGCATTTTTAATGACATTTTTAGTACATGATTATAATTAGCTTTATTCTCTCTTAAATCAGATTTCGGACAGAGGCGGCGGTGTTCCAGTAAGGAAAATTGAGCAGCTCTTCAGCTACATGTATTCCACAGCACCAAGGCCAGAGATGGATGATGGTCGAAACACTCCTCTTGTAGGATATTTTCCAGATTCCTGTTTGCTCGGGCACATGGTTTAGAAGTGGGTCTGGTAGAGTTAGATCATGTTAAAAGTCTTTTTCCAGCCAAAATGATTCTAATAAGCTTGCTGTAAGTGTTGGACAGATTGGTAGATTAATTATTAAGTGCTGTGTCCACTCTTTTGCTTTGTGGGGTCTGCAAAGATTACTGAGCCTCATAAATATGAATTAACACTTTCCGAAACAGATTTTTAAATATCTAGTTCAGTAAACAGAAATATACTTTTAAAGGTATAAACAAAGAACACTCCAACCTGAATCTAACCCTGTGGTTTTTGGGGTTTTTTTTCCTTGTTTTCCATTGACAGTAATTTACCTGGTCTTTGCTTCCACTCAGTCCTCAAACTTATAAAATATTCTGTCTTCATGGAGGCTAGCACAAGTGGAATGGGCCTAGAATATTTTTTGTGCATCTGCCACCAGCAGACTCCTACTAATCAAGCTATACTAGCAAAAACAGGAGGGAAAATACAAAAATGTGATGTGTGAAAGTGGGCTATGTGTGATTTTTTTTTTTTTTTTTTTCCTTGCTGCTTTATTTTTTAATGGTCCGTTTCGATATTCTGTGTGAAACCGGTTAGAGAATTCTCTTTAAGAGGAGAGAAAGTGCAAATGACTTTAACAGTTTAAAATCTCTGAACAATGTCCTGCTCTTTGGTTTTAAGTCCTAAGAGCTAGTGAAAAAATAAATTTTTTGTTTTGTACTTTATTTTTAGGCTGGCTTTGGGTATGGCTTGCCAATTTCTCGTCTATATGCTAAATACTTCCAAGGAGACCTAAATCTCTACTCCATATGCGGTTATGGAACAGATGCTATAATCTACTTGAAGGTATGTATTTCAATTTGGTTGAATAAAAGATGACTCCCATTAATACAGTGAGTTAACTACTCAGTACCATTCTAAGTTAAACAAATTCTCTGATCTTGAGTAGAAAAGCTCTCATTTTAATAAGAAATGCCAGTAAGACTGGTAACTGCTATTTAGAATTAAAAAGGTCACTTGGCTTTAACTAGTCTACTTGAAAAACTACTAGTGAGAACCCTGTTAGGTTTTAGATTGTATCAAAATTTGTTTTGTTTTTTTTTTTGTTGCCTGGACTTGATGGTCGTGGAGGTCTTTTCCAGCCAGTGATTCTGTCTACTGGTTCATGGAATACAAAGTATTGGGAGAAAGTGAAGTAGCAGAAAGGCATCAGCAGCAGATGTTCCTTCTTTACTCTGACAGCCAGAAAGTCTGTATAAACTAATCCTTAAAGATTCTAGTACCTGGTCCTGTTCAACATCCACCATATAGCCCAAATACAAGTTTCAGATACGAGTAATCTTGACTACCTGGTGTGTAACATGCCCTGCTGTTTTATAAGTAACCTGGAAAAATGGTTCTCGTCTACTTTCCATGCTTACTTATGAGAAAAACTTGCTTTGAATTTCTTCTACTAAACAAAAAACCAAGGACACTAAAGCAATACAAAAGGAAGGGACATTTCAGCTATATACCTGTTACATTTATATTTAACGCTTTCCCAGTAGAATATGGTGGGTTTTTTTTTTAGTTGCAAAATATGGAAGTAGGAAAGGAACATCTATTAAAGTTTCTCTGGAATTTTGTAAAGGAAAGTTCCTTTCCACATCTTCTAGGACTATCTTGAAACAGTTTACAGGATGACTCCTAAGCACAAACTGTTGCATCCATCGTAGAAACGTTTGTTTCAAATAACTTGTTTTGTGGTGTCACTGGCTTAACACTTGAAAGATACTGCTTGCATTTTTCCAGAGAGGCATTACTTTGAGAGAGGGGTGGAAACTGAGTGACTTTCTTGCTTCTTGATTTTTAGGCCCTGTCATCAGACTCAGTTGAAAAACTGCCGGTTTTTAACAAATCGGCTTCCAAGCATTACCAGGCTACCTCCGAGGCAGATGACTGGTGTGTCCCAAGTAAAGGCCCAAAGAATATGTCGGAGCGCAGTGCGGTTCTCTGAAGAGAAGCTGGTATCCAGGCACCCAGGGGGATCAAGCTGGCTTCTCAAAAAAGGACTAGTGTTTGGAAGTATTCATTGACCTCCAAACAAGCCAATTCTTCAGTTTCAGGACTGGCAGAAGAGAAAGAAGATATGGATGTTAGAACCCAGCCTACGTGCACTGAATGTGAAACCTTGCTGCGGGCTTCAGGGTGAGGAAATAGGAGCATGTATGTCTTTTAAAGAAGAGTTGTGTGTAGAAGAAAACGAGACTTTATTTTTTTATGATCAGAGACTTGATGTGGTAGAGGTGTGCAACTTTTGAATCCTGTTCAGTGCTTGAATTCTGAATGCTGGTAAGCATCAGTTATGCTGATGTATATCTTCTCCTAGAATAGTTATCAGCAGTTCATCTTATTGCAGAACTTCTCAGGTAGATAGATGACATCTGTACTTCAAAGCTGTATTTATAACACTTGGAAAAGATCCACTTAACATGGCAGTCTTGTAGCAAGATACAAACAGCTTTCAAATACAGCCTGACTGGGAGGGAGAAAACTGTTTTCTATATGTAAGGAAGCCTATTCTTTTTTTTTTTTTTTTAAGAAAAGGTATTCCATTAAGGATTCCTATGTGATGCCTTGCTCTGCAAGCTACATTGCTGGATTTTTATGTTGAGCTGTTCATAGACAACTAGCCAAGTAAGGCCACTGTGCATAAGGTACCTAACAAGGAAAACAGGGTGTTTCAGAAAGCTACAGGAAAGAAATGGAAGCTATTTTTTTTATAGCAGCTGTAAGGTTAGGTTACATCTAGCCTACATCCCTGCACTCTGGAAAGCCTGTGCCAAGTCAGTCAGTTGGGATTTTCCAAGAACTGCAAGTGGAATGGAAAGGGTTTGGTGATCTGCATCAGGTACGCGTGATGTGGGAAACGGCGTATTTAAAACATGGTCTTATGATTTGGTTTTGTTGTGATGTTAGATTAATGGCTCAGTACGGTAAACCAACACCTGCCTATCATCTTCGTCAAATTGGTGTTGGACCACACTAGTTCAAAGGCTGGTAGGGATTCTGTACCCTAAAAGCTGTGGTGAGCACTGAAGGTCTGATGGAAAGGTTTTCAGGAAAAAGTGGGACTAGAATTTTGTTCTATGTTCATTGCAATGGAAAAGTCTTAGGAAATGAGAAGCTTTAAAATGTGGACAGCACTTAAACTCTAGAATAATTTTAATGAACAGCAAAATAATAAGGAAGAGTGTCAGGGGGAGAGAGCTGTTGGGAAAATGCTCCATTCTCAGTAAGCTGATTCCTTTCCCATCTTCTTTGTGCGTTTTCCCCTTTGTAAGCAAGGTAAACTTAACAACAGAATAGGAGTTAAACTTTTGGACATTTCCAGACTGACCAGTCAAAGTTCATCAGGGCTGTATAATATTACTTGAATTTTTATTATTAGTTAGCATATTATCTTAAGCGTATATGATCCTTTGCAAGAAGCTGCAAGTGTAGTATTTACATCATCCTGCTCAGTAATATGACAGTTTCTCTAGAACAGGTTTGTATTTGTTGGTCAGAAAGCCACTCCGTACTCTACTGTGAATATCAAATATTTTTTTAATAGGAACAGGAGAAAGCTGCAACTATTTGTGTTCTGGAAGTCCTGTTGGGATAGACTTCTCAGTCAAAACCGAAGTGGTATTCTGATAGCTGCTTTTTCTCTAAAAAGTGAATTTAGAAGTATTGGTGATAACTACTGAGCATAATGACTTCAGTACAGCATCAAGGCTGTTTTCATCCCAGGGAATACGCTGCAGTCACCAAAGGTTGCCAGATATGTATCTGAGCTCACTCAGTGAACGAAATGGCTTAAAAAAACCCAAAACTTTGCCTAGAATATACAGGTGTGAAAAAGCTACTTTCACTGCCATAATGTACTTGAGGATTTGTTAATTTTATATTGAATGCAAGGTCACAAAGTACCTAGGTAGTCATTGTGGTCAAGGAAACAAGTGATAGCTCTGTCTGTACCCCCTACTGCTGGAACCCAAGTTCTGATCTCATGGAGCACCGTGTGTAGGAGCTGTAATTCTGTGTGAAAGCAGCTGAAGCACAGGGGTGCTGTGAAAACATCTGTGATACTGCTTGCAGTATTCAAAATACTGACAGAGCTGTGTATAGCGCTTAAGGAACCCATGTGCAATCTCTGTACTGTTAAAAGTTACTTAAGGGCTATCTACCTAGGTAAAACAGTACCTTTTTCAGCATTTACTGAATTTTTATTCCTGGAAGTAGAGCTGTAGTTTTAAGGCTTTTACTTAGATGGAGATGTTGAAATACTTTTATAATAAAATCTTCTAAATGGTGGTCTAGTGTCTTTATTTTAACAAGTGTGAGCAAGAGGCTTTTTTATTTTAAGTCCTATCACGTGGAATTGATCAACTTCCGTGCTGTGTCAAATAGATTTAGCAGGGGTGAGGAACACTGAAGTAAGGGTCTGCTTCCGCCTAATGTTGCATCTGCTGAGAGTTTATGTGGTGCCCAAGATCAGGGCATCGCGTCACACATCACCTTACTTTCTCTAATTAGGATAGCCTTCAACCCTCTAGAATATCTAATTTTTGTTGAGCTGTAAAGAAGGTGAAAATTCACTGCTTAGTTCTGTTTTAAAAGGCATCCATCAACAAGTCCATATTTAACAAATGACTTCTTCCATAGAATAAAGGGAAGCCTCTCTTCTGGCTCTGAAGTGATGGGACAACTGGCTTTGAAGAGCTGAGTTGTAAGAGAACTGAGCCACTGTAACAGTCCTGTGCAACTGGTGCTTTAGCAGCTTTGTGCGTCCCTGGGAATGTCCTGCATCTCCCTTAATGTTAAGAAGATAAACTAACTGTAAAAATGTGTGTGGGTACTTTACCTGAAAAAGTAGAAGTGAAAAAGAACCAGACTGTGTCTGGCAGTAAATCTTCAAGTGACAGCCTTGTGTGCTGAGTTTCCCCTTCTTAACAATGATTTTTTTTCACTTTTTTTTTTTTACACCTGTAATGCCAGAGAAGTAGATTAGATGATGTACGCTTCAAGCATTTTGCCATTACGCAAATGTACCACCACCATCAGATGTGTTGGGAGAAACAACCCAGAACTAAAGTACACCAGGGACTTGAACAGAAAACCAACACCACCCTCGCTTTTTGTGTTTTCTTTCCCTCATCCACCTTTACTGTCTTGCAGTCCCTAGAACCAGGACTAGGTTCTTCCAAGCAGAAATACACATCGGTGTACTCTACACCTCATCCACGGCAGGCTGCAGGTGGGAACTGGGCATGCCCTGGGTGCAGCTGGGACATGCAGGACTTGCTGCGCAGCCCGTGTTGAGCAGGCAAGGTGTGGTGTCTCTCCAGCCAACTGCTTGCACACCATCAGTTCCAGCCAAGCTCCTGCAGTCTAGAAAGCTCCAGAGGTTGATTTGGCCCCCCCACTCCAACCCAGCAAGGGACAGAGGCCACGCACCCGGCTCCTGATTCAGCAAAGCAGCGGCGCTATGGGACTGGCTCGTTTCTGGTACGTCAGAGGTTCCCTGAAATCAGCAAGTTTACTCATGGCTAAAAGGTGTTCTGGTTTCACAGGAGATAAGCAGATGTTGCACTTCCCTCCCTTTGCCCCCTGATCAGGACCTTACCAAGCTGGCTGCCTGATGTCAACAGAAACCGCGCCAAAGCACCCTGTGTTTTCTCTTCCAGGTCGTTAGCTAAAATGCATACGCTCTGATTTTGTCACTGGTGCTTTGGGCACACATCCAGATTAGTTTCCCTGGAGCTTTGATAAGCAGTTTCTCATTATCATCTTTTTCCTATCGCTTAACCAAGCTTTCAGATCTACACGACTTTGCCCTTAGCGTGCAATAATGTCCTTCCCAGAGCATTGCTACCTTTGATAAGAAACAGTACCCGACTGGAAAAATATTTTTTTTTTGCCCTTATGGTAGTGATGATGACTTGAGAGGATCAGGTTGTAACCCCAAAGAACTGTCTGCTCTTAAGTTCTTGAGCAGTTATGGAAAATGGAAGGTAGAACTTGGCAGTTTATGATCCCTCAGCTCGGCTAATTTGGGGATGTGGTTGAGGATGGTGAAGAGGACAGGTGCACACTTCTGGGTTAACATCTTTGGGTTTGCATTCCCCCAAAAACTCACACCATAATTTTAGATGCCTATATCCTGATCTGTCACTACAGGCCCTAAGCTGGCTTTGCATTTTTGTGCTGGCATGCAGATTCAAGGCAGAATGACTGACTTGCTAGCTGGCCAGATGCTGCTCCTCCTTGTAGTCAGCAAGGAGAAAGCAGAACAGCTCGGCAGGCAGTCTCAGTCCTGCTCCTCTCCACTTACCTCACTGGGAGGAAAGGGCAGAAATTCCCCAAGGAGAGTCTGAATTCTTCCCTGCAATCTCAAAGGTTGGATGGCACAGCAAGAGGCTGGAACACAGTCCTGGGTCTTTGGAATATTTTGAGGCTTCTTAAAAATGTAATATTTTTATGTAAGCAGCAAAATATGTATGGGCTGTCAGGAGCTGCTCCTCATCAACTCTCTTCCATATTCCTTCTGTGGCTGTGAAAGAAAACAAAACCAGACTGCAACAAATTGTCCCATGTTAGAAGTATCACAGATTTTTCTTTTTCACTCCCTTGCTTTGCAGTTCCCATCAGGAAGAGGCGAGAAAAGACAAGACCTACCTGATTTCCTCCTGTGTGAGGGGGACAGCCTTGAGGAATGAGCCTCAAACTGCCTTCCTGGAGTCAAGTGCAGCCAAAAACCTAGAGAGACCTGCAAGGTGGGAAACAGCCAGAGGAACGGGCACCATTCCCACCACGCGGGGCTGCAGAACACCCTCCTGGAAGGGGACAGTTCCTGGTTTAGGATGGCCATACTTTAACTCACATTAATAGGACACATCCAGATATGCCCTGTCAGAAAGACTCAGAATACCAAGTGAAAAAAAGATAATTGCTTTCACTGTTGTCTACAGG